CCTACGTGTCAATACTATTCATATCTCATAATCGGATAAAATTTTCAATTTCAAATTTCAGATAAATTAAAACAAAAAAAAAGGCTGGTATTTATAGAAAAAAATTCATTAATTTTTGGGTATTTTTTAAAAAAAATTTCCGAATTTTTTCCAGTATTTTATTGCAAAAAAATTGGCTGCCGTTGGATTGGAGGAAAAAATCAGATCGGAGAGCCCAGACGACGCCACGTGGCAACAGGAAAAAAAATCAAATCAGCGAGGTACTGTAGCGATATTGTAGCGGGGGGGACTGTAGCAATACTGTAGCAGATTGTAGCGCTACAATAACCCCCCTCGTTTTGGACCTCAGGCAGAAGTTGCCTTCGGGCCAGCCCGAGGAGGTGGGTCCCACACCCCCCGGGCCTGGGCTGCTCCGCTTTTTTTTTTTTCCCTACCCTCGGGCTGGGCTGCACGGGTGGAAAGGCTCTTACAGCATAATCTCTTGCCCTATTTGGAAGATAATGGGTATTGTTGGCACATAAAATTCAAACACTAGGATGGAACGCATGATGTACGCAAAGCTACGTACTATACACTATTATGTTTTTAACTTGTACAATTTAAAGCATATTTATTTATTAGGAATGAAAGAAGTCATCGATTGAAAATTAGTAATTGATTCTATTTTCCATTTCAAGGGTGTTGCGTGTTGGATTACATATTTAATGCGGAACCCACAAATTTTTATTCTTTAAAACATGCGAAGTTAGGATTTAATTCAAATACTTATATTAGAAAAGCATGAATAATTTTAATATTCATTTCTGATAAGTGACATGCTACATATTTTTAGTATGTTATCTTCTTTCGATCAAGTAATTTATGTGTATTAATTCGCTTCTCCATTTAAAACTTAAGTTAAAATTACGTGTTATATCTTAGTGAAAATTTATAAAAGATGCCTAAGATAATTGTTACTTCAGAGTCACGCATGACAACGACAATGTTTATACTTTTTTCTTTTTACACCAACGACGTGTGAACCAAATGATTTTTTTACTGATGGATATACAGGTGAGTTTGTGTTGAACCATCACTATCAATTAATCAATGATTATAAAGCATTCATGTTGTTTCTTGCAATCAAATTTTGATTCTATTGACTATTGGCCAATGCGATGATATCGTCTAATTGAACGGATAATATTTTAATTAGCCTCTGAAGTAGTGAATTAATACAAGTTTTGTCAACTTGATTGATATGATGATAAGCTGCCAATGAGAACACATACGCAGAGGCCCATACCTCTCGATCACAACTGTATATGTATAGAGACAAGTCTGCAGAGCATTGAAAATGACTGAAATATATAGAAGATTATATATAGTTCACAAACATGACAGCCCTAAATATTTCTTTAATGTTTAATAATGTATTATTGGGCGGGAAGCAACAAAGGTAGGTGCGGTCTTTCTTCGTTTATTAATCCATAAATCCAATCTATATTATATTTGCTGTTCTTCGGTAGAAAAAAAGACGAGACGTGCTTTTGATCGTTGAATTATGGATTTTAATCAGTTTATGAATTATACTTGCTTCTTTTCAAATCAATTTAACTTGTTGTTGCGTTTGATTACGGGAGAATATTTATACATATTTGACACCATAATGACTTTGTAATTATTTTTTTTATTTTTTATCAATAAAATACTATCGTTAAAAAAAAGGCACTTGAACAGTTTAATCCGTGAAAACATTTGCATAACATTTCAAGAGAATCTCAATTGGGTTGCGATTGTATATTTAAAATATATAACATCATATATATTTTCAAAATTTGGACCAAAATAATAGGTTCAAGAAAAATAACTGCTTATTAGCCACAACCACACATGCAGGTCATTATGGCCACCTCAGCTTTACATGTGATACATCATTGTATAAGGATGTATTTCTTTTTAGAGAGAACCTCGGCGGTATTCGATCACATATTTGATTTTGATTAAACTTTTGGAGACTTAATCATTTTCAACATGTGGATCGATCTGAATTTAATTTTTTTCTTTGGTAAATATTATGAGGTGTTCCCACACCAGAAGAATGAGATTAATTTCACTAGGAATTCGACTTAGTGGCCGTTTGGCATTGCTTATTTGAGGTGATAAGTGATTTTTTACAAATTTTGAGAAGCCCAACCTGTTTGGTAAATTGTGAGAAAATCACTTATTGTTAAAAATTGCTGTGAGAGAAAGCTATAAGGGAAAACAGCTAATGAGGTGCTTTCATTTTTTGATTATTCAGGAATCAGTTTCGAAGAGGCACTGAGTTTAATGATTATGCGACAATCATTTTCTAATTATGCGACAATCATTTTCTAATTATGCGACAATTATTTACTCCTGGCTACAAAGTGCTTTCAACAAAATTTCATTTTTTAAATTTGTGTAAATTCTCATTTTCAAAATACAACAAATGAATACAGGATATGCACTGAGAGGTAAATGGTAATCCAAAATCCTAAAATGGTAAAACCTTGATTTTTATTTATTTATTGATTAAAAGGTAATTAAAAATCCTAAAATAAATTTCTAGTTTTGTAGCAAGTGAGGGGTCGTAACAGAAAGCCCGCGTCTTACTCATCAGTAATTAGATCTAAACAAAATTTTATGCCTATCATTCGTTCATTATGAGAAAATCTTAAATTTATAATTTAATAATTATCTAATAACGTTGACCTCCCCTCCAGGCTTTTGAATCGGTCAATCTCCCAGTTAATCAGCCAGCTGCCTTTTACCTCAAATACCCTTCATTACTATTCAATGGTTCAACTTTCCTAAGATTAACTTCAATTTTCAAGTAATTTCAAAGAATACAATGAACCCAAATAAATGTTAATAGTCTTGAGTATTACAATAATAGGAAAGCTAAGAATTTTTTTTTTTCATTTAACAATAATTTGTGTTTATTTTTTACGAGGCCATATAGCGATAATTTTAACTATAAGGGGAGGAGTTTTTCAATCACAATATCAATATGTCATGGAGTTCGAACTTGAGACCACTAATCTACAAGTGAAAGTCCTTTTTTACGGAACTAAACTCGATTGACATATTCTAAACTACTTTGATATACGAAAACGGAGTTCGAATGTGGATATAAGCGGGTGCATATGTGACCTAATGGTCCTACTACATCTGCAACGTACTTGTACTTGAACCCTAAACAACAACATGATTACCGATGCATATCTCACTCACATTGTAAAAATGATAAAATTTTGAGTTCAAATTGAGAAACAAACAGGCATTTTGGCAAAAAATAAAAAGCTCATCTTATCATAGTACAAAATATACCAGAAGAAAAAACCAAAAAGCCAGTATAGATACATACATAATCTTGTGTTCACCAGAAACAAGATTCTGCATAATCCTAGCCAAAAGTGTGGGCCCCAACCTTTTCTGTGGGTCCCATGCAACAATGAAATGTCAAAAAGGGGACCCACTGGTGACCTTGTCATCATTTTTAATGATCAAAAGACAAAGTTGCATGAACAGACTGAAACTGCTGCATGCTCCTGCGTCCCAAGTGTAATATAAGCTTCCCACGTGGATCCCCACCCTTGAAATCTGGCCATGGTGATCTCAAGGAAGATCCAACGGTAAATTAATTCTGGGGCCCACCCGAGAAAAAGACGAAACACACTCCATGGTTGTGTTACTCAAGACTCGAGGGGCTTCAGTTTGCCGACATGTGTTAGTTGGAGTTCTAAAATTTAGCACATTGGTATTTCCGAATTATAATTTTTAATTTGAATATTTTAAAATTTTAAATTCACGTGGTTTCGGATATATAAAAAAGGGTATTTATGTAATTACGTAGATTGAAGCAGTTGTAAACCAACTGGTCGAAAATCAAGGAAAATATGTTGCCTACTTTTTTGTGATACGAAAATCCAACTGTAAACCTTTTTTGTTTTAAGAAACAAAGTCTTCAAAATGGTAATTAATTAACTGTAATATTTTTGTTAATTAAAAATTAATTTTTATTTATCTGAACTCTCTCAAAGTATGTGCTTTAAAAGCATCATTTGTGTCAGTGTGGTTTTGAGATTAACATTATTTTTCAAAAACTTTTCTGGATAAAGTTTAGTGAGAGAAGAAGGGTTCAGAGAGAGTGTGCTAGAGGAAATAGACTTGTTTCTGCTGCAGTTGGGCTGAATGAATTGGTGAGTATGTTTTATTTTTCAGCACAAACTGTTTTGGTTTTTAGAAAGAATTTTATTTATTTATTTATGTTTTTGGGTTATGGTATTATCAAATAACTTCCAGTAATTGTTTTTGGATTATTTTCAAGTTGGTTTTTGAGTTGGAAAAGACTTCAACTTCTAAGAATTTTATGTATAAAAGTTCAACCTTGTCATTTTATTGTCAAGAATAATTTTTTTGGTTTCGGATGCAAAGTAAGCTTTTTCCAAAATAGGCAATGTATTTTGGGTTCGGATGTGAAGCTGTTCTTCCTCTTTTTGTGCTTGAAGATACACTTTTCTGTGCAATCTTTTCTTAAAAGTAGGTGGGTCTCTTTGTTTCTGTGAATAAATTTGGAAGCAACAATTTTAAGCATGTTATTTTTATGCAAATCATAAATATCCAGATTTGGAGGAATGTCCATTTCTGGCTCTGGTGGTGTGTTCTGGCAATCTTTACAGCTTTTCCTAGTTGTGATAAGACCAATTATTTTTTATTTTATTAAATTTCCTTTAATGGATGCAGGGAAAAAAGAGTAAGAATCTTCTGACAGAAGATAAATAAACCTCAAAATCTTTCATTCACTGAATCTTTGACCTAGTGCTGTTGGATTTCTCAACTTTTCTTCTCACATATTAGGGCTTAGATTCTGTGTTTTTGACATATCTATGTTGTTCTTGCACTGGTAGATTGAGAACATTGATTTTCTCTTGGTTTATGATTGTTTCTCTTTGGGTTTTTAAATACCTGATCTTTTTGCAGTAAATAGATTGGTGATGGATTTTTCTGAGTATACAAACGCTGTTTACAGTAGAATCCAGAAACTAGAACCAGACAATGCTACAAAGATTATAGGCTATCTTCTTTTACAAGACTATGGTGAGCAGGAGATGGCTCGTTTGGCTATGGCTCCAGAGCACTTGATTCACCAAGTGATAGTCAAAGCCAAGACTGAACTTCAGCAGTTGGCTGCCAAGTCAGTGGCATCCCCAATCTCACCTTCTTTGAACCCAGTAACAGGGGCTTTCGCTCCTTATTTGCCCGTTTCGTCGAGGCCTTTCTCGTCTCCGGCAGCCATTCGAGTCCCAACTGCCTTTTGGGATGCGCAACTAGTTGCTAAACAAAGCCCAGATTTTATGCCATTCGGTTACCCTGACTCTATTGCAGAACTGCAAAACCAGGCTCAGTTTTTGAGTTTGGAGGATCAAATAGAACCACTCAATTCTGGGATTTCTGGATTCTCTAATGATTACTACCGGGACGCTGAAATAGACAACTTAAATGTTAGAACTGGTAGACGATTTTCAAGCGTGACAGAGTTTCCAGTTAAGATTTGTCACTATTTCAATAAGGGATTTTGTAAGCATGGAAGTGGCTGTAGGTATTACCACGGACAAGTGATTCCTGAGAGCTTCTCTCAGATGTATGGCAATGATTGCATTAATGATGATCATGTTATCTCACCGGGGTCTCTTGAGAAGTTGGAGTGGGAAATCACTGAGCTGCTTAGATCAAGAAGAGGAATTCCTATTTCAATTGCTTCTCTGCCAATGATGTATTATGACAAATTTGGAAAATCTCTTCAGGCAGAAGGCTACCTCACTGAAAGCCAGAGACATGGCAAGGCTGGTTACAGCTTGACAAAGCTTCTTGCTCGACTGGGAAGCAGTATTCGACTGATTGACAGGTGAAAATTTTGGCCTTTGTTTAGTGTTCATGGCTGATAGACTGATACTCTTTCATATATGGGTATATAACCAGTGCATTATGTGATTTACAGGCCTCACGGGCAGCATGCAGTAATTTTGGCTGAAGACTCTCCGAAATACACAGATCATCGGAATGAGAAAGGTGATCCTGGTCCTATTGTTAGCGGTTCGCGACAGATATATCTAACATTTCCAGCTGAGAGCACTTTCAGTGAAGATGATGTCTCAAACTACTTCAGGCAAGTCAAAATTTTTAACTATGTTTGAAAAGGTACATGTTTTTTTGCAATATAAAATTTCAGGCTTTAATAGTTTTCTCATTGTGTTGGTTTTCTTTGCAGTACCTTTGGCCCTGTTGAAGATGTCAGGATTCCCTGCCAACAGAAACGGATGTTTGGGTTTGTTACCTTTGTCCATGCCGATACTGTGAAAATGATTTTGGCAAAAGGAAATCCACATTATGTTTGTGGGTCTCGTGTTCTTGTGAAACCTTACAGGGAAAAATCAAAGCTTGTTGACAGGTAACAATAGAATGATTCGAACATCCTGAGTCAAACTTGTCAAAGTTATTGATGGACGCTGTTCAGTGTGAACTTTCCATGCGATTTTGTATAGTTGCCAATACAGTTTTTGAATCTGTGCTTGTGAAGTAGCTTGTATCAGTGAAAAGTATAGATTCCTTTTTGCTTCAGAGTACTTTGCTTCAGTTAAAATGCTGCTAGAAGGACTCTTTTCCTCATCCATATTAATGACTTCTTTCTCAATCTCACCTTTCTTTGCTTTATGCAGAAAGCACCAAGAGAGAATGGATCCTGCGGCATATTTTTCTTCACACCACGCAGACATGGAATCAGATTTTTATTCAAGTGAGTGGCACTTAAAATTTCTTTGATTGGAGCCTTCAAGATCCTATGAGGATTCTTTACATCATTGGTTATTTTTTTGCCTTTGTTTCTTCTTTTATCAAATTCATCTCTTTTGGTGTGTCTATTGGTCATAGAGTTGTTATGTTAGCTTATGCATAAATTTTCAGTGTCGGTAGGCTGTGACAACTCTAGATTGTTGAGGAAGAAGCTTGTGGAAGAGCAAGAATATGCGATTGAACTTGAGAGGATAAGGCTGGCAGAGCTTCATTTTGCACGAAAGCCTGTGGCTAATCATCCCCATTCTAGTTACTTCATGGATGGGCACAAATTCTCAGAAGGTCCGTAGTTTCTATCCACTATTAACTTCTCCACATAGAGAGCAATTTTCTTTTCCATTAACTTCTCTTTCTTGTTTAGTATGTTTCTTACTGTTGTAATTAATGCAGATAATTTCAACTTCCCATCTGCGGAATGTTTCAATTATCTGTTTGATGTTCTAAACAGTGGGTCTACAAGTGATGATAAACACAAGCATATAGACACCAATTACACTGACCATGAAAGGTATAAGTTATCTCCTCCTGCTGGGGGATCTCAAGTTCTTATTGTTTCTTTACTATATTTGCATTGCTTTTTCTGATAAGGGTATCCCTTTCTTGCTTAGAACAGCCAAGGACTTAATCTCCCCGATAGCCCATTTGCAACTTCAGTAGCTAGTGGCATTTCAGCAGTCATATAGGTTCAGCAACACAAAGAAGTTTATAGAGTTAGGTACCGTTCAAAGGCGACATATTTGGTTCGACACATAACAGCTCTCTTTCTTTCCTTTTCTTTGGCTTCATCCGCGTTTTGCCAAAGTTTTCCTGCAAGTACATACTGCCTACAGAAGAGACATTAGATGACACTCCTCCCTATCACTCGGGTTGACGGACGTAGAAAAGAAGAATTGGATACATAGAAGTATATGTAAGAAAGATTTACAGTTTCTTAATGTTAGTCACAGAAATAAGGCAAGGGATTTAGATCTTTATTAGAATCTGATGTAATGTTTTAGTCTTTTAGTTGAAGAAAGGATCTAGAATATTTCAAATGTGTCAGAGAGTTTTAAATATTTTGAAAATCTCTGTAACACTGAGCAAATATGAAATTACTTGAACTATAAGTTAAGTAGCAGATATACCAGTTTTATAATCGCTTGGTTTTTTTCCCCATGAATTCGATGTGTTAGTTGGAAAGATGAAACTGCAGTATCTTTCCACATGACAATGCTTAGTTTAGAGGGAGCGCTGTCTTTGAGGCTTCCAGAGCATGTAGCTCAGAATTTTCTTGTAATTTTTATGTATTAAAGGCATAAATTCATTTTCTATTAACTCGTCTCCACTCCATCACTACCATTACAACCACATGATTAGTACATAATACTTTCAACATCATATCTATTTTAATCATTATCAACAGTTACAACAATTTTATATTAAAATTTATCAAACGGTTTTGACACTGTTTTTTGTACTAATAGCACTTTAAAAATATTATTTACCAAACATAGAGCCGCTTTACTTTATAACTAATTATTTTCAAAGTACAGCAGAAACAACTTTTTTGAAAAAACTGCTTTGGATGACCCGAGATTTTAAAATAAGCTGACTTGATTTCTTTTCACCAAACACTTTCAATTGCAAAAATTATTTTTAAAGCCGCTTATTTTTTAAGCACGGCACTCCCAAACGCGGGTCTTGCTTTTATTGCAAATTGTTGTCAAATCCAAATATTTTCTTTCATATCAATCAATCCAAATGGAGCCTAATTAATACTGTACACATTCTACATATTGCTGGAAAATAACAATAAATAAGAAGGATGATTTGGCAGCATTAAAAAAGAAATAGACATTATCTCTCGTCTTATTCCTAAAAGCCAAAGTGTTTTCATCACAAAATTATCCGTTTGAATCATTTAGAAATACGGGAGACTTTGGAAAAACACAAAGGAGAGAGAAATTTTATAAAAGAAGCCAAAATGGACAAAATTGCCCTTATTTATTTTTGGATTTCCTAAGGAATCCTTTACATTTGTATGTCTTTGATTTGAAAGTTGAAAGGTTTTTCTGTCTTTTTTGAAAAAGCTTTGGCTTTTTCCAAAAGTGAAAATTTTTTTTTGGCTAAAACCTAATTTTCCTAAAACAAAAAGGTCTTTACATATACATTTATGTCTACACCACTCATTACGTGACTACAAAAGACCGATGATACAGAATCTCTCGTGTTCGTAAGTATAGATCTCTTATTTTTCTCTTAGCCCACGTTCAGAATCAATTATCACATCCCCATTTAGTTTTCCAAACACTTTGAAGAAAATGTCAGTTCTTATAAAATTTTTGTTTATTGAACTTGTGTAGATAGAATATATTTTAAAGAACATTGTGACATCCGGATAGGAAGAAGGCTCTACGCCTACACTATAAAAAGTCTCAAAACATGTATTATTTGTACAAGAAAGCTATACAGAAAGACAAACTGATCTCAATTACTAAGCTAATATAGTAGCGGTTGGTCAGTTGGAGCCATTAGCTTTAAGACTCTAAATCTAAACACAACCTGCATGCAGTGTCCAAGTTTGTCTCATTCACTGTCTCTTTCCTTGAACAACTTTCTGGAAATTGACACCACCAAATTCAGTTATTATATAAATAAATGATTGGGTTTGTATGATAATCTTGTATTGAGCAAACCGACCCTGAAAGGATAACGTGCAAGCTTCTAGCCAGAGACTGGATCAACTTGGCCGCAAGTTGAGGTAAAACAATCACTTGTTTTTGGAGGAATTGCCACAGGCAAGTGGTTTTGCAACAAAGGCACACCGTTGACCAGCATAAGGAGGAAATTGGTCATATTGTTTGTCAACGGAGTCTAGCCTAGTTTAGACTTGCAGATCAATGCCAAAGGAGGGAAGTGGTCATATTGTCTAAATCTTTGCACTTGTTGGGTTGAAGGGTCTATTCTTGGTGTCTAAATTCAATCGTTGATGTGCCAAACCATTTTTAAAAATAAAATAAAATATATATTATACAAGCATATTGGGAAGGCGGGAATCAAATCTAAGACCTCAAATGCATGAATAAATGCTCTTAACCATTTAAACTACAAACCATTCACAGGTCAATTAGGTTAAGCAGATGCATCGTGATAGTTGTGAAATACTCATCAATGTTAATCATGTTTATTAAGTTAAATGTATCATCACGAGTTAAATACTAACTCGAGCTGCTTATTAATCACGTTATCGCGTCCCAAATTTATTAGGATTGTTTAAAACTCAATCCAATCCACTCAAATTAACCAATTAAATCCAATTTGATCGAATATGATGATGACCTTGACTTGTTGGGTTGAATCTCCAAACTACAAAGTTGACAAATTTTCCCTGTAAAATTCCAATGCAATTTTGGCTGCTTTCTTGCTTCTCTTTGTCTTGTAGATTTAATAAAAAGCCCAAACAGGGCCAAAATATGAGCGCATAGCACTAGGGCTAAAATATACATAACAGCCTGCTGAAAAAAGCATAAAAATAAAAAGTAAAATAAAACCTGTAAAAAGTTTCATAGCTAGCAGTCCTGCTCTCTGGGTATATTTTGAGGATGAACAAGTAACAAAAACTCATCCGACTTACAACGCATATGGTAGAAGAACAAACCCTCCTGTTTTAAATCAACCGCAGTTAGTAAAGCTTCTCCTTTGTCCACTTGAGAGTTGAGAAGATGCAAATACACTACTAACCTGCAATGAGTTAATTAACCATTAGAAAGTACAAAATCATATCAAACAATGTAATTAGGCCATCCAATGGCAGTAAGGAAGAGATGTATCATGTTGTACTTGTCTACTAGCATAAAGGAATACAGCACAAATAATCAAACATGCGACCATTCAAAAGGTAGATCCATTATCCTGGAAACCACCCTTTCTTGTTCAATTAAAAAATAAATCACCTTAAAGCATAAACTGTTGTCTATTGTCTTTTCGGTCACAAGCAGTTAGAACCTCGAAAATAATACTCATCTAGATGCCTTGACCTGAGAATGTAACGTTGTATACAAAACTGGAGCTGCTCCTGTATGAACAACTAATAGCACTGGAGTGGAGTGAGGTACCACCTATATACTCCACATGAGAAACAAACTAACCATCCCAACGGGAAACTGTCAACAACCTGGAAACTTGCTTACTCCAGGTTTATAATAACCAGAAACTCTGAACTTCATGGAAATTATTGTTAACAGTGGCATACATTGAAATTCATTCGCAGACAAAGTTGCAAAGGGAGGCTGCTCTGTTCATCAAACACTTGGGTCAGTAACCTCGGGCATCCTTTAAGAGAAGATGCTATCCCTTTCTTTCATATTTTTTGGCAAACTCCTTGAGCAGTAGTCTCTGCCGGAAATCCAGATATTTATCTAAGCTAGTTCCAGCCCACTGCTGGCAGAAGCATTCATCAGTGGGGACCAGTGAACTTAAAGGAAATGGCCCTTTAGGAGCTTTCTTCAGAGAAAGCAAGAACCTATGTCGGGGGCGAATTCTCTGGTCTAAAGACAAGCTTAGGTACATAGGATATTTGGTCAAGGAATGCACTTCATTATGAAGTTCATTGACCAAGTACTTGTACTTGGGTTTCAAATTCTCCTCCAGTGATAGGGATAGTACCTGCAAGGCTACATGTCAGAAATGTACAAAAGGGAACTTTAAAATGGTCAAAGATTCAGAAAATTAACTTGTTAAGCGGGAAGCAGCAAGAAAGCTATTTTTCTTCTTCTTAAGAACATGATATTTCAGTAAAAGAAGTAGAAACTCATACTAACATACATGCATATGGAAAGAAAAACAATTTCTTGTGACACAAGTACAAATAAATCCCAAGCAATTAGAAACAATGTAAAAGTACTCTGATGGGCATAAAAGAAAGTAAGCAGACCTGTGTCAGACTAGTTAAGACTTTCAAGATGTCAGCATTACACATCCCAATACTCCTAAGGAAATTGATCCTGGGTAGCAGTCCATCATTGATGCTATAGTGGAGGAACTGGGGATGTTTTTTAACCATCTTCACAATACTATCTCTGGGTGCTCCTATCTCCTCAGAAAGAAAATTCAAACGAGTATTCCATGATATATCAATCCGCTGAACTAGAATTTGAGGGCTTAACTGCACAACTTTACCTAAATCCTTTTCTTTAATCCCGACCTCCTCAACTAAGTATCTCACGGTGGGTTTCAATGAATTCTCAACGCTATAAGAGAAGAGGGATGGAGCAGCAGCAATAATCTGCCCGACTCTGGAACTTGGAATACCCAAACTCATGAGGAAAGCAATATGGGACTTCAAATTGTTCTCAACTGTATATTCAAGGATTTGTGGCTGCCTCAAAAGCATTCTTCTTACATCTCTTTGTTTGACCCCAACACTCAACAAATATTCCAACCTTTCCTTTGCAGAGCACACATTTATTTGAAGAGAAGGCATATGCCTCTCATACATTTGAATAAAGTGTGATTCCTTAAGCCCAAATGTGCTAAGGTAATCAATAAGAGGTAACCACTTCTCATCCAATTCAACCTCTTCTGATAGCCGAGGAAATCTATCCTCCATAGCTTTCCTTGTAGACAGCTGCATCAAAGAAAATAATAAGAACTTCCCAGAAAAATAGTATAGTTGATGACAGAATTTGACAGCTCGTCATATCACTCTACAAGATACCTTTCCCTTGCGAGGTACATCCAAGGAACTGACACCATTTGTTTGATTAGAACTATTGTAGTAGTTTGCTGCATTACTTTTCTCTAGAGTGTGCTTACTGTTTCTGCCATCTGAATGACCATTCGCAAATCCCTTGTGTGATTTGGACCTCTTTCTATTAACATCAAACTCTGAAATTTCTGCAAAGTCATCCTGGAGAAGCAACCCACAAGAAAAGCCAGATGATGTTTCAAACAAAGGAAACCCAAGGTAGTTGTGTCACAGAAACACTTATACAAAACTAATCTTTCCATGAAAATAAATTACCACAAGTCCAAGAATCAATTTTGCAATGTTTCCAATAATGATATGCAAAAAGAAAACGGATAAAGCTTGAACCCTTAAATCTTTCTTTGCACATTGCTTTGAAAATCAGAAAGAAATTGGCATGCACTTCTTACATTGAAAAAGACCCACAAACAAATATTTACCTCAAACCCCTAAGCAACCAAATGAAGGGCACAATAAAGAATTCCACAAAGAAAAACTACAAATTAACGTATTTCAAAACATGGGTACCTCACAGTGAGCATAATTGTACAATTGTTCCTATCCATGCCTCAAATTAAAGTTCAAATTTTAATAAAAAACTGAAAAACCAAATGTTACTACATTCACAAAAGTCAAGGTACTTCAAATTCTAAGCAGAACGTTAAATATTAAAAAACCAAAATTTCTGCTTTCAAAAGCAAGAAAAACACTTGCCCAAAGGACAACCACCAAGTCCAGCAGCTCAAGCACAGGAGCCAGTACAAAAACTCACATTGAGCAACCAATCGTCATCCGACACATCACTAGCACGAGAAACCTCTTCGTCATCATCTTGGTCGTAGGGAGACAGAGGCTGGCCATAGCGCGACCTCCGATTGGACTTGAGAATTTTGGGGTTGGAGTGGGTTGAGAGCACCACGAGACGGCAGCTGGAACCGGACCTTCTTTTACGACCACATAGACTGGAGAGAGTGGTTACAGTGAATTGGGACTTGTGGTAGAATTTGAAAGAAGGAGGAGGAGGATAGGAGGAGGAGGGGCAGAGAGAGAAAGGTACCATTTTTAGAGAGAGAAAGAATATACCCTAAAACCCTTATACGGAATTATTTATTATCAGTATCATTATCTTCTTCTTCTTCTTCTTCTTCTTCTTCTGCTTTCCAAAAATATATATTTCTTTTCTTTTTATGAGTTTCAGACACAGAATATCTGCGTCTAAGTCTTTGTGTCCTAATTATATAATTAACTAACTGGTATTTTTTTATTGGCTGGTGGGAAAAGAACGACAGGTCGATTTACAAAAAATGACATCTTTCATTGGCTTTGGAATGATTTAAAATGAAAATATATTTTATGTTTTAATGAATTAAGCAATCCCAACAATAGAAATTAGCTATTACATAGCATAATTAACAATTACAAAATAAAACAAGATTTTTATTAATTTATGAAGGATATTTAATTTTATTAATGAAAGTTAGGGTCGGTTCTCAGCTCTCAAAGGTCCAGGGTGAAAGTCTAAAGTGTGCTCATGTACACACACATTAATCACTAAAATTGTAGTTTTTTTATTTGATAAACTAATCATTGGTTTCTTTAAAGAAAATATTAATCCAAAGATCTTTTTAGAGCAATGTTTTCTTTTTTTTTTTTTTTTTTTTTTTTGGCTTCCAGAGTTTTAAATGTTAAATAATAAAACGCAAAAGATAACAATAAAAATCTCAACTTTATTTGAGATTCTTGGCTCTCTTTTGTCAATTTACTCATAGGGAAGCAAATGGTATTGCACACCGACTTGCTCAATTTGGTCTGCATAATGTGGAGATCTTTATTTGATTTGAGGTACCCCTGATCTTATTTAGAACACTTTATTATGTGATTTGTTGAGTCGGGGTTGGCCTTGTTGTCCCTCCGTTGTTTTATCAATAAAGTTGCCCTCGTTCCATCGAGATTCTCTAAAAAAAAAAACAAAAACAAAAGAATAAAGAAACTAAAAATATGATCAATCACACTCAAGCAAGAAAGGTTCAACTTTAATAATTTAATTAATAAACAGAGAAATAACACATGATTTTTGGTTTTTTTTTCCTTAAAATATAATCACATAAACAAAATTAAACATTCAAAGCACGTATAAAAATTATATAAAAAAATTCAAAGCTTGTATAAAATAAAAATAAAAACATTCAAAGCAACTTAAAATATAAAAAAGTTCAGAAAACTAAAGGCCTTTTTAGTATTGGATTTGAATCCAATTTTATAAACTCAAAAACTGATTTTAAGTTAAAAACAAAAAAAAAACACCCGTTTGATAGGCCATTTTTAAAAATTCGAACTCAAAATAAACTAGAAAAACACCAACAAATTAGAAAATGTTATAAAACTAGAGGGAGAAAATGTAGAGAGAAGTGACATGCTAAAGATAAAGTTTCACCATGTTTATTCTTCACTTAATATTTGGTAGAACCACCTATTTATAGGCTTACAAGATAAGAGATTGAATACCATCATTTACAATATACATATAGGTTACAAGCACTAATTACAAATACTTAGTGCATAGGTTACATAAAATCCAACGGTGGAATACTAAGAGGTATGGTGGTCATCCACCAACTCATGCATTTACAACACTCCCCCTTAGATGTCCACCATACAATGACATAGTTCCCTCATTAAAAACCTTGCTTGGAAAACCCAGTGGGACAAAACCAAAGCGAAAGGAAAAAGAGTGAAACTTTCTTCTCGATTATTGTTATGGTGTTGGATGCGCTTATATTGCCTCGTTAAAACCTTGCTAGTACCCAGTGGGACAAAAACCTAGTCGAAGGGAAAAAGAGTACAACGCGCATATGTCTTGTATGTAGTAGAATTGGGATGCTCCCCTTGATTTTCATTAATTTCTGGAATTTAGGCTTCAGAAAAAACTTTGATAAAATGTTCGCCAGATTATCTTGTGAACGAATTTGTTTAACTCCAATCTCTTGGCTTTTTTATGAAACTATGTCACCCTTGATGAATCCTTCTCTGATTTGAGCAATACAAGCAACATTGTCTTCATACATGATTGTCTATCACACTATTCGACCTGCTTTTCACTTTTCAAATGATTGAACTCTTTAGGAGCATCAACAACTAATTTAATAGTTAGAATATGTTATAATAATATCAAATTTGAATTCAAAATACTCAAACTCTTAATGTTAACTCTTAATTAAGAATATTGTGGTACTTTATATCCTTCAAGAGGTCGCTTCATCTGATATATCTCAAATATTTCATGAGCTTTGAGGATCTTCATGTACCATATAGTTTTAATAAATATGCATTTAACACATGCTATAAGTTTCGCTTTAAAGTAACAACTGTACTTATAGAAATGTGGATGCATCTATGATGAGATGGGAGACTAAAACCATGTCTCTACCAGGAAACCTTGTGTAATATTAGTGATCTTATTTCACTTCACAAGTACCAATTCGTAACCTTCATACTTAACATTTGTAATTTGGTGTTTGAGCTATAGGTTTAATATCCCACACTTCATATTTAGTAGAACCAGAGGGATAAAATGTAGAGAGAAGTGACATGCTAAAGATAAAGTTTCACCATGTTTATTCTTTACATAATCTTTGGTAGAACCATCTATTTATAGGCTTACAAGATAGGAGATTGAATACCATCATTTATAATATACATATAGGTTACAAGCGCTAATTACAAATACTTAGTGCATAGGTTACATAAAATCCAAACGGTGGAATACTAAGAGGTATGGTGGTCATCCACCAACTCATGCATTTACAACAGAAAACATAAAATGTCTGTGTTTTTCTAAATTTTTTCTACTCGTCTTATCGCTCGAGCGACACTTGCTCTAAGGTCCTTCTGGTCGAGCTCAAGCTTCAAGCCTCCATAGCAGAAGCTTGAAGCTCTCTTGCTCCCTCTCTCTCTCCCCATCTCTCTCTTCGTCCCTCTCTCTCATCAGTAACTTTTAGGGCTGGGCATCTGAGTACCGCCCTCGCCGCCTCCTCTCGTCTCTACGATTCTGTCAATTGAAGTCTCGACGTCACACGTTATCGAACATGCGCGCACCATTGGCTTGTCGTGAGCTGGAGTTGCTCATCTCCGATCTCTACAATTGGGTAATTTTTAGTTCCCTTTTTGTCCTTGTTACTGAAGATTGGAGTTTATTTTTCATTTGGGTTATGTTTGAATTATAGCTTATTTATATCTAATTCGATTTTATTTATATGAATTCTTGTGTGTAACCTGATTGATTATTTTTTCATAGAAAGTGATGAAATGCTTTTAGATTTGACATTATGGGTCCATTATGTTTCCTATTCTGGTTATAGAATTCATTGGTTTCAATTTTTTCAGTTGTTTTTGTTTGTTTTTTTATTATCTCATTTGAAGTCTCTAGTGCTCAGAAGTCTGAATGATATTTGCTCAGTGATGCTATTCATATGGGTTACTTGTTATTTCTGCGATCCTGCTTATGTTGAATTGTTCATTTGATGCTTCTTTGCAATTTGTTTTCCATGTATTGGTCCAAAAAAGAAGTCTTAATATGTTAATCAACTTCTATATTCTGTTTAAAAAGAATTCTTGAATATGTAGTCTTTTGCACATCAGCTTGCCCTTAGTATGAGCTCTGCAGTCAAAATTAACTCATTTTATTGTGATTGATCGTTTCACTTAACTTGACAAGTTTTGATAAGAGCTTGTTCAGTATGTATGTGACAGTAACTATCATGTATTTTGTACACAAGTTTTTTCTTAGACATCTGTTCAAACTAGTAGGAATTGTTACAGAAGAAGTTTTCTACTCAAGTTTTCATTTTGATCAATTTCATAGACACATTACAGAAGTATCAAATGTCAATGTTTAGCCGTAGGGTTCCCTTTGGTTGTGGATTTTGTGAGTTTTGTTTTGGACTGGTTGAGCATCACAGAGGTATCTCTCTCTTCATCCACATCTCTCTCTCTCTCTGTCTGTCTGTCTGTCTGTCTGTCTCTCTCTCTCTCTCTAAGTTATATATATAGCCAGTTTTATTGTTTCTTCATATTTGTGTGGCCATAGTTTGGATTTTCCTGGTATTGTCAAGCATATGGCTAGTGAACCATATTGAAGGTTATTGTAAGTTGTTCTACTGTTATGAAAAATCAGGCTTTGAATAGAGGCTTGCCTAAATTGGGTTCCATGTAGATTATGTTCTATGAAGGCTTGTTAGATTTGACAGAGTCTAAGAAGGAAATATGACAGTGCATACCTTATCATGGAATTCTTTATTCATGGATTGTGTTGTGTGTGGTAGCAATTTTGTATCTCAGCTATATCATGGAATTCTTTATCTGCTATTTTAGTTAGAGACTTGTGAAGATTTATTCTCATTCCAATTTTGCAATTTGATTATATACAAATACAATGGTGTCTGAAGTGACATTATTAGGGCCCTAATGGAATTTTACACAATTTGCATGATCTTGATGTGGTAGATGAAGAAAGCTCTTGTGGAAATCAAGCTGGGAACACACCCATTTGCATGAGTGAGGACAATGCTAATGAAATTAGTGATGCTAGAGATTAGATAGCCGGAGCAATATCATTAGTCTTAGAATTTATTAGTCTAGAATATTTGAATTTAATATGTATTATTTAAGACTTGAAGATCAATTGAGTTTGACGATCATTATATATGTATGGCATTAAAATATAGATTTTAAAATTAGTATGTTTAGTATAATTTCAATAATGTTTATCAATACCTTAGCTAAAAAAATATAAAAATAAAAAATGTTTTCAAGAATTCAACGAAACAAGTTTCTAAATTTTAAAACTTAAAAAGCTGTTTTCAAGTTGCATACTAAACAAGTTTTTGAATTTAAAAAATGGATTTGAGAACTATTTGTTTTTTTTTAAATAATCAAAGTTTTAAGTTCCCTACTTGGATAGGATACCAAACGGGCCCTAAGAGCATCCACAAGGGGCTCTCTAAACCACCTACTTAGACAAATTTTAAGGAGGAATTGTAAAAATGCAACTCCAACCATGCTTCCTATCCACCTCTTAAAAACTGAGGAGAGAGAAAAAACTTCTAGTGGCTCCTTATAATTTAATGCTGCTTTATTTAATGAGTATTTCAAACCTTTATTTAATTCTAACTATTTTTTATTTTATTTTTTAATAAAGATGGACCAATCAAAAAAGAGTTATAGCATTTATGACTCTAAATTAGGGAGTATGATTGGAGTTGAAATTTTTTAGAGAGCTCCTAAAGTAGTTTTCTTATATTTTTAGCTAAATTTTAGCTAAGAAATAGAGAGGGTCATTGTGGATACTCTAAAAAAGTAGATTGATAGAACATGGTGGTCAATTTATTAATATGAAGAAGATAGTGAGTAAAATTGCTGAGCCAAAAACAAAAGAATGCTCAACCAACCCAAAAGGAAAAGAAAGAGAGAAAAACAAACAACAAAAGTTTTGATACTCTTCAAAAAACGATGAAGAAGCTTAAGAAAACATCAGAGGATGAGGAGGAAACCACGCCAAACAAAAGACATATGAAGAGCATGCACATCTAATTAATCTCAAAACCATTTTCAATTGACATATGTATTAGCTAATTTCTATATAGTTATGCCATCCTTTTCTGAAGTGATCCTAAATGAGAATGCAAAGCTGCAAATGCTTTTTTTGTACCTGTATGAATTTGCTATGAAAGTTGATTCACAGATTGGACAAAAGGCCGAAGGCCTAGGAAATGCTGAGGGGCAGAGACAAAGTTAGCAGAAGCACAGAGATGAGAAGAATCAGCGTGAAGGAGAGGGCAAATGTGAATCATATTTGATCTACACACAAAATGTGAATCATATTAGACAACTTTTGACTACCAAGACCAAAGACCAAATATCAAATCAAAGCCTTGGTTGCAAAATTTTCCAAAAGCTGCTTGCTTGCTTGCTGATTTTCCATGAAACAAACTCATCACGTACTTGCCATACTAAAAATGGTAACTAGTTACAATAATTTTCTAGCTAGCTAACACTGGGACCTACACCCATGTGACAATATAGATGCTGCACCCTCGATGTCAAAAGATGCTTGCTTGCTGATTTTGCTGCAAACAAACTCAAGTACTTGTCATCTTAGCACTGTGGAACTCGTGACATTGTGCAGAACATGTGACATTTTTGAACAGTTCAAAAGTTTTAAAAAGAAAAATACAAAAATTAATCCACAACAAATGATTAGTTCAAAAGTTTTAAGAACTAAACAAAAAATAGAAAAATCCACCTCTCTCAGCCACCACAACCCTTCTCTCTTCCCTCTTTCTCCCCAGCAACAACCCACAACCTTGTCTATCCCTACCCCAACCGCTTTCTCCCCACCCAAAGGCCCCAACTCTAATGTATCCCACCCCTAATCTCTCTCTCTCTCTCTCTCTCTCCAAAAAAAAAGGGCCATTACCCCCCGACCAGCTCCCAGCGAGATCTTCCCCAACCCCAACCATTGCCTAGCCATTTGTCCACTACTCCACTTGCTAAGCAGCACTTACCCTCCCTGACTACGCCCATCTTTTTTTTTTTTTTTTTTTTTTTTTTTTATTGTTATGTTATATTTTTAAATGAATTCAAAATTTTAATTAAAAAAAAGCTTTATAGGTTTTCAAAAGGAAAAAAAAAAGATTATCATGTTCATATATAACGGCAATTTTAACAGAATAATCAAATTGAATAACGGTCCTAAACACAGGGATCGAATTTGCCAAATTAAAAATACATGGACTAAATTAGCCAACGTAGTAAAGCACATGGACCATTTTGGCATCTAAGCCAAAAAAAATTTGACCATAAGTCCTCAACTCGTTACTTCATATATTGAAGTCTTTAATTTAGTCAAAACAAATCTCAATAATAATTTTGTGACAGATGTTACGGAGAAAAACGAATGCTTACCCTTAATTCGGACTTAATTGCTAAAATTATAAAACTATAAGATTATAATTATGAAATTTGAAATGACATTGAGGAATTTTTTAAGGGCAAAAATGAGAGAAAAAGGCACAAGCAATCGCAAAAATATATGTGATCCACATTGCCTAATGAATGAGTGGGTGAGTGCGTAGATGCAACGTGGCCCAATATGAAGCGGTGGTGACTTTCAATTCAGCTGATACCCTCTCTCTCTCAACTCATCACACAACCAAATATGCAAGCCGCAGTCTCTTCCTTCACACAAATGGCAACTCCAAGTACCTCCAACAACACTCTGTTAGGAAGATGCCTTAACATCTCAAAGCATGCAAGCTTTACCAGAAAACCATGCAACCAGAACCAGCAGCTAGCTATCAAAAAACCAAAAGCTTGGAGGGTTGCAGCAATTCATGATGTTCCGGTTGTAGCAGATCCAACCCCGGTTGCCATCACTTGGCAAATTGTTGTTGGAGCCGTAGGTATATTTTCACTCTTAAATTATATAACAACTGTGAATTCTTTTTAATTATTGAATTTTGATTTATTTTTTTGGTGCATGGGCAGCTGGAGTTACACCTTTTGTGGTGGCTGGGATTGAATTCAGCAAAAGAATAGTAAGTTCATGTATGAGCAAATGAGTTTTTTCCAATTAATCATTTATTTTTGTCAGGGATAATATGGTATTGATGATTATATATATATATATATATATTAATTAGATAGCACAGAAAAGATGTGAGGTATGTGGAGGGTCAGGGCTTGTTTTGACCAAAGAAGACTACGTCAAATGTCCTGGATGTGGTATGTGTTTAGATCCTTCGCTTTCAAGGGGCTGGAAAAATCTGTTTCTCATTATTATTTATAATTTATCTGGATTGAACCCCTCTGTTTTTTTTTGTCAAGTTAATTCACATTCTTCGTAATTTTTTTTTCCAGGTGGATTTCTCCCTTGGCAATCATGGAAAAGATTCTTTTCTGGCTAAGAAATTTTTTTTTTCGCTACCCTTAATACATTTTCCATAAGGTTCGAGTGGGGACGTTTTATTCAGTATTATGCTCTTCAACATAAAATTTTTGTTTTTGTTTTTTTAAGAAAATAACAGTTATACTCATCTGTATAAATAAATAAATAAAACATTCTTATGAGAATGATACTTCATATCATTCTTAAAATTTAGTTACAGAATTTTCTAACAAATTTTCACAAATATTATTTATCTAAAAAATTAGTTAAAGAGTTTCTCCCTATTCCTCTGCATATCATACACCATCTTAAACGGTCAGGACACCCCATCTTACTAGTGGGCATCCCCAAAATCATGGAAGCCTCACGTTTGTCAAACATCGCTTTAACCTTCGCAGCGTTCCATCATAGGTGTCTTGATCAATTAAGCTACCCACTCTATCTTCTGCATCACCTCTATAGGACAGGGTACAATTTTTACCAACTCAATTAACCCTCGTTGGCCAATATTTGGTACTTTGATTTGTTTAATCTTAGCTTTATTTTTTGAATCAGAAGTTTAGAGGACGAGAAAGAGTAAGAGATAGAGTTTGAAAAGAAAGAGTAGTTGGGAGGAGTGCAAAACAGAAACTGGCTTGTTTTATGTGCAAGAGTTAATTCTACTAATAAAATAGTGAAATCATTTTTTGACAAATACATTTCAATAGTTGGATTGTAATATATCTAAATGCTAAGAAAGCGTGTCAAAATGTGTGGTTTTTTTGTGTTCCTTGATCTTATATAGAAAAAAGATTACGAAATTACTAAATAGCATACATAAAATCCCAGAATTTTTGGATAGTGGCTTTTTGGCCCTTTGTGGCTGTATCTTTTTTGGCTGAATTATGAATGCAATCTTAGAATTTAAAAAAAAAAAAAAAAAAAAAAAAAAAAAAAAGAAAAAAAAAAACAAAAATAAAATAATAAGTTGAGTTTGTGAATGGTACTAAGGATATTAATATATGAATCAAGTTAAGACAGACAATTGACTATATAAATACAATAAAACAAAAATTGAATATGATCGTACAAAAATTCATAAGGTTTAATGTAATTTACGTTTACTATGCTATCGGAAGAATAAAATCTTGAATCTAGCAACCCCCCAGATAGTGAGTGAGTAAAATTGCTGAGCCAAAAACAAAAGAATGCTCAACCAACCCAAAAGAAAAAGAAAGAGAAAAAAAACAAACAACGAAAGTTTGATACCTCTTCAAAAATCCGAACAATTTTTCTCTTTATCCAAACTTGTACGAAAAAATGACGAAGAAGCCAAAGAAAACATCAGAGGATGAGAAGGAAACCACCCAAAAAAGACATGAAGAGCAAGCACATCTAATTAATCTCAAAACCATTTTCGATTGACATATGTATTAGCTAATTTCTATGTAGTATTCCATCCTTTTCTGAAGGTGATCCTAAATGAGAATGCAAAGCTGCAGATGTTTTTTTTACCTGTATGAATTTGCTATGAAAGTTGATTCACAGATTGGACGAAAGGCCTAAGGCCTAGCAAATGCTTAGGGGCAGAGACAAAGTTAGCAGAAGCACAGAGATGAGAATTGAATCAGCGTGAAGGAGAGGGCAAATGTGAATCATATTTGGTCTACACACAGAATGTGAATCATATTTGGACAACTTTTGACTATTAAGACCAGAGACCAAATATCAAATCAAAGCCTTGGTTGCAAAATTTTCCAAAAGCTGCTTCCTTGCTTGCTGATTTTCCATGAAACAAAACTCATCATGTACTTGCACACGCTAGAGTGATAAACATTTCATGTGCAAGTCATAACGTTAAAGTTGTTCCATCATTTCCTACCAAAGAAAAGTCGGTACCTTCTTTTTTTGGTCTATGAATTTTCTTTGAAAGTTCATTCACAGATTGGACTAAAGGACTAAGGCCTACCAAATGCTTATTTCCATTATTAGGATGCACAATTCTCTGCAAATGCCTTTATATTAAGTTAAGGTCGGACAAAGTGGTGTCCATTAATTTGTTGGTAACGTACTAATATATGAACAAGAAAAATTCTTATTTGGGACAATTTGACTATCAAAATTAACACGCAGAATAAAAATGAGCGTAGAAAGACGACCAAATATCAAAGACTTGGTGCAAAGTTTTTCGAATAGATGCATGCTTCACGTCAATTTTCAATAGCTGAATGAAAGACGCAGCTACCTAATAGTGGGCCCTACACCTATCTGACAATAGGAATGCAGATTGCAATTCAACATCTTCATGCCACAACAGTTACGGAGGATGTTAATGGCGCTTTGTATATCTAAAGAAGATAACTACTATTCATTAAGCTTCGTATAAATATCAACAATTATAAAGGTAACGTTTTCAGGAATCTTGATCTTATGGAAATTAGTTGGAAGGGCTGTTACCACTATCTTGTGCAAATTGACTTACATAATGGACCCAATGTTTTAGACCGTTGGATAATTTAGTCCTGTGTTTAGCACCATTAGGTAATGTAATCTAATCCATTAACTTATATTAAAATATTAATAAAAATAAAATATTCAAATTCAAATTTAAAAAATAATAATTAATCTCAACCGCAACAACTTTCTCTTCTCTTTTAACCCACAACAACCCCACCCCAGCTATTTCCCCACCCATACCAAAAGCCCCAAATCCCCAAGCCACAGACCATCCAAACTCTCCCTACCCCGCAAACCGATCCCAGTACGATCTTCCCCAACCCAACCATTCCTTACTCCCGAACCATTCTCAGTATGATCTTTATATAATTAAGTGGCAATAGTTTTGATTACCATATAGGAACTAGCTTATATAGGATTTAATTACTATATTAACTAGATTTTATCTAAATGATTGTTTTTACTTTTATGTTGATTACTTTATTTATTAACTCCTTTCTTTTTCTTTAGCCTAGAGAAAGATAATGGTTTTCATAAATGAAATTTAAAAGAAATTTTTGTTTATGAATTTGCTTGGAAGTTCATTCAGAGATGGACAAAGGCCTAAGGCCTATCAAATGCTTAAGGGTGGAGACAGAAGTAAAAAGACAGCAAGCTGTGGAGAGAATTTATGAGAGGTGTGAATAAGGAGGCAAAAGTCACGGGTGACTTTTAATAAGCGGAATGAAAATTAATGAGAAACGATTTGATGGTCAATTATGAACCCAGATTAGCAAGTCATGAAAATGAAGGTGCTCATTTTAGTACGCGAAATGTCTATGTACATACCAAGACAAAAGACGACCAAATATCAAGGACTTGGGGCAAATTTTTTTCCAATTTGATGATATAGAGGTAGGCCTGTCACCTCTCATAATGTCAAGACTCTGTATTTCCACTTCTCCTGTCCTATTCCCCACCCACCCACCCACCCACACTTATTTTCAAAATTTTAAGGACAAATTTAAAAAACTTAAAAAAAGACCATTTTAAGGAGAGACGGAAGGGAAGAGGAAAGGAGAACTCAAAAATGTTTGACAAGTGGTGGGATTTGATTGGGCAAAGAGATTTATTTGAATAAATAATTTAAGGGTGTTAGGAATACAGTGGATGGAAATATAGGATTGTGTTTTTCAAATTTATGTGATTAGTGGGAAGATAAGGGGGGTGGAGAAATAAGATGGGTGTCAATTACAAACAACTCAAATTTGTGTAGCAGCTAGCTACAATGGGACCCTACACCCTTATCGTCAAACTTACCAACCCCAAAACGGCCACAAATCAAAGCCTTTGTGCAATTTTTTCCAAATACATCACATATTTACCACCAAAAACAGAAGCGAGCTACCATTGGTGGGGAGGCCTTCAACTGTGTGCCGTAAGCTTTGTATAAATATCACCTCCTGGATAAGTTGCTCACAATTATTTAGAGATATATAGTTTTAGCTTTTGAAGGAACGATGGGGTGGTTGTGCTCCTCTTTCCTGCTCTTTACTACTTTTTCATTCAACTGACTGTCATCCTCCTCTAACTCTCCTCTTCTCTTTCTCAGGGCATTTTGCCATCCCAAAGACAGCTCTGCTTTGCTTCATTCCAAAAACCTCTTTCCTATTAAACTCTTTACTCCATCTAATAGGACAATTTCTGGCATAAAGGCAAGGATGTGTGCGCCATGGATGAGTCACTGTGAAAGATGGACTGGTCATGTTGATGGTCTCCAACCTGGTTATGGTGGATTCAAGGCAAACTCCATTCCAAGCAAGCTTATTCTCTCTTGCCATCTCAAGAGGCTAGGAACTCGCCGATAATATTTTCAAAGTTCCCCAATTTCGGCCAAATTTGGTGGCTTTGTAAGTATGGACTTCACCCTTGACCTCTCGCTCCCTTTCAGTGTGGCCCAATCCCTTCCGAAATTTCCCACCTTTCCACTTGGTTTTCACTCAATCTCTCACAAATCTGTTGTGAGACGAGATAAGCTTAGCTTCCACGAAGTGGTTTCAAAACCTAACTAATCTTTAGGGCGCTTAATTTGTAAAATGTGTGATAGGTTCATCAGTTGTACCGATTCCTTCAAGAATCTGTCTTCTCTTTGAAAACTCTTTGTCTCTTTGTTGCCACTTGCGAGGAAAATTCCCAAAAAGCAGTTTTCACCGACCAAATCTTCGACTCGTAGATTAGGCACCAACTATAACCTAACAGGTTATTTCCCCAAGGCCTAACTGGAGTAAGTCCGCGCGAGATGTTGGATCTCTCTCATACAAGAATCTCAATAGATGGCATCATCTGACAAGAAATTTCAAGTCTTTGAGAGCTTGCATCTTAGAAATTTGCACTTTTGTAGGATCATATCTTGACTTTCTTGGTAACTCACACAAATCTGGTTTAGGACCGTCTCCGTATAACAGTTTTTGGTGGCCAAATCCCACTGGGTCGTTCGTTTTAAACTCTGAGAGCCTGGTTTCCTTGATCTCGGTGGCAATACTAGGTCGGTCAGTTTCCAGAAGTTGCTAGCAACTCGCCATCAAACTCTCACTCTCTATTATCTGATTTTTCACAAACAACAACTGGTGGGTCCCTATTTCCCGACACTGTAACCTCTCTCATTGTTGATCACAGCCACTCAACGAACAACCATCTTGGTTAGGTAGTTTGTCATCATGGAGAAGTTATCCATTAGAATAAACCAACTCACTCAGCACACAGTCATAACATCATTGAGGTTCCAATCTCGTTCTTTGAAAAAAACCTTTTTTAAGTGAGACAGCTGTTGGCGACTGATTCCAAGATCATCCTATGAACTTCGCATCCCTACCTTAGTTTATCATCCACTAATGGGTGGAAATTTGGAGTTTGAAAAAAGTTATTCCAAACTCCGAAGTCCTCACTCGGCTTCTTAATTCTTTTCCTGAATCATATCTATCCTTGAAGCTTTTCATCAGTCAATTCAAAAACCATTTGAGTAAACAACCACAACACCACAACCTGCTCAACTTATTTACTTAGCTTTGTCGTCTTTCTAACATAGAACTGAGTTCCCATAAAATCCTTTCTTAAGAAGCTCACAAAATGGGAACAACTTATAGAGAATAAACCTTTTCTTCCTCCCCACAAGACACCGAGATCCAAAAGGCCGACATTCCCCGAATGGTTGGTGGATTTGGGGAAGAGTCATTATGGATTATAATCTTCTCACAGACTCTTGTATTGACTGGTACTGGTAGAACCAAAAAAACAAAGCTTCGGTGGGAAAACTTTAACTATGCTTTGAACCTTGTCTTTCTCTCGGCTTTCGCAAAACATTCACTCCAAGGAGAGCTTTCTTTCTTCCAATTCCACACCATCCATTACACCACCCTTCCACCCCACATATCACTTTTTTCATCTATCAAATACTCAATTCAATGGAGAGATATCCACGATCTGCAGAGAGCCTGAGGAGACTTAAAATCCCTTGATTGTCTATAATAATATAAATTGAGTGGCAAACCTCACAATGCATATTGGGATAATTTCAGTCAGAGCCTCGCTGTTTTGAATCTAAGAAATTCAGGTTCATGCGTGATTCCTGGGACATTTTTCTGCGGGAAAAGTTTTGAGCATCTTAATCTTATGAAAATGCGTTGGAAGGGTCGTTGCCCTCCAACAATGTGAAGTTGGCGTTCAGGACTTGGCCACAACCAAATTCAGACACTTCCCAAATTGGCTGGAATCCTCTTTCGAAGTTGCAAGTTCTTCTCCTTGAGGTCCAATAAATTCTGTTGGGAATAGGCATTCCAGAAACTAAAGGGTCCATTCAAAAGTTGCGTATCATGGACCGCTCCTACAATCCGGTTTAAAAGGTAGAAGCGGGGTCCACACTTGCCAACAAAATTTTTGAACATTTGCGGCCACATGAAAAAACCGCCCTCAAGAACTTTGGACTGAAATAATTGGGGGAGGGCTATAGATCTAGGATACTATGGCAGGTACAATTAAAGGCTTTGGAAATTGATGAAATGGGAAAGATCCGGAGTTCTTCACAACTATTTTTCTCAAAAAACAAATTTAAAGGAGAGTTTTCAAGGTACTCAGTAAGCTTAAATCATTGAAGGGGCGAACTTTTCTCTAATGACTTACAGGTACAATTCCAAAACTCCATTTCCACCATCATTTTTATTTGGAATGATTCCATCGTGAATGTTAGATCTATCTTCAAACACACGTGTTGTGAGTCATTCCTCCCCTGAGAATTACCTCCGGAGCAATTACAAAATTTGGTGACGGTTCACTAAATCAAAGTTCAATGGTTGCAAAAGATCAACTTGTTGTGGGGTGTTGGGGGTTGGGCCTCATACCTAAACCTCATGGCAACATTGATTTACATTTTGAAAATGATTCATAATGGGAAATACACGGATTGTGTGTGGATTGCCAACACTCTTTTTTTTTTTTTTTTTTTTTTTTTTTTTTTTTTTTTTTTTTTTTTTTTTTTTTTTTTTTTTTTTTTTTTTTTTTTTTTTTTTTTTTTTTTTTTTTTTTTTTTTTTTTTTTTTTTTTTTTTTTTTTTTTTTTTTTTTTTTTTTTTTTTTTTTTTTTTTTTTTTTTTTTTTTTTTTTTTTTTTTTTTTTTTTTTTTTTTTTTTTTTTTTTTTTTTTTTTTTTTTTTTTTTTTTTTTTTTTTTTTTTTTTTTTTTTTTTTTTTTTTTTTTTTTTTTTTTTTTTTTTTTTTTTTTTTTTTTTTTTTTTTTTTTTTTTTTTTTTTTTTTTTTTTTTTTTTTTTTTTTTTTTTTTTTTTTTTTTTTTTTTTTTTTTTTTTTTTTTTTTTTTTTTTTGTGTCAAGGCTATGTCTGGAAAAAAACCAATAAGTATTCTAACAGACCAAGATGCAGCAATGGCTAAAGCGTTGCTTTCAGAGTGGCCAGAAACATGTCACCGTTTGTGCATTTGGCACATATACCAAAATGCAGCCAAGCATCTTAGCAATGCTTTTGAGAAGTTCAAAAATTTTACCAAAGACTTCGGTAGATGCATATATGATTATGAAGATGAAGATGATTTTATAAACGCTTGGAATAACATGCTTGAAAAATATAATCTCAAGGATAATGATTGGTTGAGGCGATTGTTTAATATAAAGGAGCAATGGGCATTAGTTTATGGGCGACAAACTTTTTGTGCTGATATTACTACTACCCAACGCAGTGAAAGCATGAATAGTGCTTTAAAGAAGTATGTTAGTTACAAATATGATTTGCTACGATTTTTTCAACATTTTCAGAGGTTAGTTGAAGATCGTCGTTATCAAGAGTTGAAAGCTGAATTTAGAGCAAGTCAAAGTTCACCTGCATTGTCATTTCCAGTGGAAATATTAAAGCACGCATCAAATATATATACACCAGAAGTGTTTAAGTTGTTTCAAGATGAGTTGTGTAAAGCTCATGATTGTGTCTTGAAATTCAATGGTGAGATTGGAAGCATCAGCAAATATGAAGTTATCCCTCATAAGAAGTATTGGCACCACACAGTCACATTTGACTCAATAGATAATACGGTTTTATGTAGTTGTAAGAAGTATGAGTTTGCAGGAATCTTGTGTGCACATGCCTTAAAAGTCCTCTCTACCAGAAATATTAAAAATATTCCCGCTCAATACATCTTGAAGAGATGGACCAAAAATATTAAGGCTAAGAGTACAAAATCTACTTGCAATGTCTCTAGTGAAAATGACTCAAAAGTAGAAATTGTCAGGCGTTACAGAGAATTATGTCGGTTGCATACTCAGTTAGCAACACGAGCATCAGAGTCGAAAGATGCATATGAAACTGCTATATTAGGACTTAACAATACGTTGAGAGATGTGGATGCGTGTTTGAAGAAGAAAGCAAGTCAAGAACCAACTCAGGTGATCCCAAAAACTACCAGTGCATCTAAGCTTAATGAGTATATTTGTATTGACGATGATATCATTAAAGTTAGAGGAATCAAAACTAAGACCAAAGTTGTTGGCAATTCTAAAAGGCCAAAGAATGCTTTGGAAAAGCTCACAAAGAAGAAAAAGCCTCGAAATAAAGAAGAATGTGCTCTATTGGAACAGGTATTTTAATATATATTTTTTATTATTTAAAAGTTATGATTGTTAATATTTGTTTTATTTTAACTCTTTTTAAAATTTATGGTTTTGAAATAATGTTAGGAACCTGATTCTCACAATGAGACTATTCACATGCCAACCCAATCTCAAGCAACAATGGATATTTCACAGGTAATGTTTAAGTTAAATTTATCTTTTTTTTGGTGTCTATCTATGGCATTTCACAAGTAATGTTAAATATGTTACTGACTTAACTTATATATATTCTTCATGTGTGCTTCTTTGTATACTAGCAATACTACATAAGAACCCACAATACTTTGAGCAACTATCAACAAGGTCCAACTAGCATGATGAATTTATTGCAGGTAATTCCTTGTAATTGGTTACTACCTTTTGTTTTCTCGTGAATGAGTACTAACTTATTTCATTGTATACACATATATGCAGGCAGAATTACCACAAGAAGAAGAATTAAGCTTACTGAGCTCTGAAGGACTAGACTTGCTGAACTCTGAATTGACATGCAGTGCCAAGACACATGATATGTGCGTCCAAGATGTTGAATGAGAAGAATGTTGAAGAATTTTTCCTTCTTTTGGACTCAAAGTTTCATTTAAGAATATTTGGTTATGACATTTGGAGCAAGCATGTATTTACCTTTTGTATTGTTAAAGACTTCATATGTATGACAATTTTAATGGGCATTTGATGTCATATATTATTGGAACAAAACCAGCGACTATGTGGAATCAATTATAACTGAATATTGCTCGTTGTTAAGTGGTAGGACAAGTATTGAACAATACTGTATTTCATCATACATCTCGTTGCAACATTTTGTCAAAACACATTGTGCATTCAACTTTTTCAGACCCTATGACATTGATTGGTGTAGGGGTAGGGGCACTTCCTTGTAGTTGCTGGAGCATATCTTTTTCTTCTGGAATTGCAGCCGCAGTGTTCAAATCCATCAGCTTCTCTTCTCCTTCACAAGGTTTAATTAACTCAAACTCAAACTCAACTGGCACCATTGCTTGGTTGGTCACAACAGAAACTGATGATGGAGGAGGAGGAGGGTATGGAAGAAGAGACAGAGTCATTAAACTGGTGCTTTTGACGGCATCAAAGCTTGTTGGTATGGGAAGCTGTGGAAGAGCATGAGCAAAACCATCCAAGGTGATGGGTCCTCTCCTCTGCCTCTTGAAGGTTGTTGGTGACAGAGCAAAACCATCACCTCGTGAATATCGTTAAACTCCAAATAACTAAATCTCTATGTCATAACAGCAGTAGATTCAACTCCAATTAACCATTTAATTCACAAATTCTTCAAAGATAGCCAAACACATGAAAGACCCAAGGAAAAGGATGCTCGCTGGGTTTAGCAAGGAAGAACGCTTGCTGGGTTTAGCAAGGAAGGACGCTCGCTGGCTGCTGGGTTATTGGGCAGTTTTTAATTTTTTTAATTTTTAAAATTGTCAAATAAAAAAGTTAACGGAGTTAACTTCCCGTTATGTTAGTTGACACGTGTCAGCAAATTAGAGAGGGGACATGGAGGGGACACCAATTTGGGGACAGCGGATCCGCTCCCCACAATTACACATGAAAGTTTGGATTGGTGGTTTGATTCAACTAATATGTGTTGAAGAATATAAGTCTCACATCGGAAACTTGACTAAATAAAATGCAAAATATAATGAATGGCTCTACTACTAATAACACCAAGGCCTTTTATGATAAAACCCCACACCTACTGGGCTTTGTAGGTGGTTAAGTTAGGGACAATATCGGTGTTGTTAATAGTGGGCCATTGGCCTATCTCTCTGAATTTAACATGATATCAAAGCGAGTCGATTGATTAGGCCTAATTATTGGGCCTTTAAACTTACCCCTTACCCAACATGTGGTGTTCACATGTTAGGCTTGAATGTTTACCCTTACCTAATACGTGGTGCTCACATGTTGGGCTTGAATTTTTGATTTCGATGTGAACTTGGCTCCACGTGTGGCCTACTATGTGATGGTCTCATATGAGGGGGCGTGTTGAAGAATATGAGTCCCACATCGGAAATTTGACTAAATAAAATACAAAATATAACGAATGGTTCTACTATTAATAACACCGAGGCCTTTTCTAATAAAACCCCATGCCTACTGGACTTTATAAGTGATTAAATTAAAGACAACATCGGTGTTGTTAACAATGGGCCGCTGACCCGTCTCTCTAAATTTAACAATATGTAAGGAGAGATTTGAATCCTTCGCTCTCTCCAAACTAGCTTTTAAAATCGCATGCGTCTACATAGTCCTCTCTACTATCTCTTCCATCCTAGGCACTATCTTCCCATGCAAAAGTTCATTACATAACTTCCAAACACGTCAGACACTGCATGAAAATCTTGATAAGCCACAAAATGTTCCACACACCCGCTTCATAACAAGGACAAGAAACAACTCAAGACACCCAAACTTATCCACACAAAGCATCCAGCTCATGAAAACCCTACGTGGAAAGGATTTAGATGATGACCATCATATTTTGTGTAAATATATAGACAAGGGGAAAAGTTGCAGCCTTGAAAGAACCCTTGTTATACAATTCTTCGAATAGAAATGAACAAATTCCTTTTCACACAATCAGGAATGATCTTTCCATCTTTAGTAAGAATCTCAACATGGTATCAGCGCCTCTAATAGCCCACGATTTTATCATGGTCCTCCTATTTTCGTCATTATTTCCTTTCCCTTTTCTCTGTTGTAAAGCTCCTTTTTTTTCACTTTATTTCCTGGTCACCATGGACGCCTCACATGATGTTACAAACCCATTCTCAGAAGTTCACGGGTATCAGACGTTGCGCCTCACACCTATATGCCTCCTATTACAGCTCACATATAGCCTCTCGTGTTCCTCTCAAACTATGACTAGCTAGTGACACAGTTGGATGTTTCCAATGCCTTTCTTCATGGCACTCTCCAAGAAACAGTGTACATGCATCAATTGTGGGCGAGTCCTTACTTACTTAGGATTTGGGTTCCTTACTGTGTTAGATTCTGATTACTTACCCATTTATCTAGTCCTATTATAATTGAGATTTATTTCCTATTGTAATTTAGATATATTTCCTATTTAATTTAGGGTTAACACATCTTTGTACTTGTATAAATACCTCTATATTGAAGAAGAATAATAATATGACCATATAAGAGCATAATTGAATATATGCCTTACTTTGTTTGACTTGGTATCAGAGCCAGGTTTTCTTGTGACCTATTTAAGTGTTCTCCTCCCCTCTTCTTCAAGGGGGGAGGGGGAGCGAAAAAGATCTATTTCTCATTTCCATGAAGATATTGCCTATTTCTTGACTCTGATGACCCCTTCTCTTCAGGGGGAGAAGGGGAGTAAAGAAAAGTTGTGTTTGCAGAAATTAGGTAAAGTAGATATGAAGGAATTCTCCTTCACTTTGGCTGTTGTTGTGGTCGATGTTGCCTCCATTGATGTTGCCCACCGTTAATGTTGCCGCCATTGATGTAGCCTTTGTTTGCTTCGCTTTCCGTTGCTATGGTAATTGCCACTAATGTTGCTATGTTCTACCTTATCTACTACCGTGCTCATAGGGTTTCTATGTTCTGCCTTATCTACTGCCATGCTCACATGGCTTCTGTGTCCTGCCTTATCTACTGCCATGCTCATAGGGCATCTGTGTTATGCCTTATCTACTGTCATGCTCACAGGGTTTCTGTGTTATGCCTTATCTATTGCCGTGCTCATAGGGTTTCTGTGTTCTGCCTTACCTAATGTCGTGCTCATAGGGATTCTATATTCTACTATGTGCCCTATTTTTAGGGTTTGCTCTTGTATTTCCACTGCAAACTTTGCTTTAGTTTGTCACTTGTTTCACTCGTGGTTGACGAAAAGGTCTTCTCTACAATTGGTGCTTCTCAAGTATGGTATTCTAAGACTCGCTTGTCAAGTTGGGCATGTGAAATATCTTTGTCCCAACTTGAGGAGGAATGTTGGCGAGTTCTTACTTAGTTAGGATTTGGGTTCCTTACTATGTTAGGATTTTGATTACGTACACATTTATCTAGTCCTATTATAATTGAGATTTATTTCCTATTGTAATTTAGATATATTTCCTATTTTATTTAAGGTTAACACATCTTTGTACTTGTATAAATACATTCATATTGGAGAAGAATAATAATATGATAAGAGCATAATTGAATATGTGCCCTCCTTTGTTTGACTTCAACCTCCAGGCTTCTGGATCCTTCTAAGCCAAATCATGTCTGTAACCTCAATCGTTCTCTTTATGGTTTTTAACAAGCTCCCCAAGCTTAGTATGAAAAGCTCTTCCACTGTTTTCTTGGGCTTAGTTTCAAGTCTTCCACAGCTAACTCCTCACTCTCTGTTAAAGCTAACACTTGTCTCACTCTGATTCTTGCCTATGTAGATGATATTTTGGTCATATGTACCTCTCCTTCCTCATGCCATCAACTCATTGCTACTATTATAGTCAAACAATATGGGTAGAACATTTTCAAATATATTTCATTCTCTAAAAAGAGGTATTTATAATAAAAGGTTGTAACCCTAGTAGGGTTATACAAGGAAATAAGATAAATTCCTAATTACACAATATTTGTACAAAAAGGAAAGAAATAGAGTCCTAATAGACTAGGAAATAAATCTCCTAATTAAGGTAGGATCTCACTAATACTCCCCCTTAAGTTGGAGCAAAGATATCACACATGCCCAACTTGTCAAGCGAATTGAGAAAGACAGTAGTAGACACAACTTTTGTAAATACATATGCCAGTTGATACTCGGATGATATAAACGGAAAAGAAACAATCTCAGTATCCACCTTCTCTTTAATAAAATGTCAATCAACCTCCACGTGCTTTGTACGATCATGTTGCACATGGTTATGAGCAATCGCAATGGCAGCTTTGTTATCATAATACAAATCCATGGGTTTCTGGGGTGCACACCCAAGACCTCCCAACAATTTCCTTAACCATAGTAACTCGCACACACCTTGAGCCATCCCATGATACTCGGCTTCGGCACTAGACCGAGACACCACTTTTTGCTTTTTACTATTCCAAGTAATAAGATTACCACCAACAAATATGAAATACCCAGACGTAGAATGTCTATCAGTGACTGAACCAGCCTAATCAGCATCTGTATACCCTTCCACATCTGTATGACCATACTTGGAAAACATTAACCCCTTGCAGGAGTTACTTTCAAATATCTCAAAATATGCATCACAACACCCATAGTGATCTTCACTAGGAGAATACATAAATTGACTCACTGCATATGTAATATCAGGACATGTATGAGCTAAATAAATCAATTTCCTCATAAGTCGTTGATAACGCTCTTTATTAGTAGAGACTCAATCAAGATACAACCCCAACTTATGATTCTATTCACTAGGGGTATCAATTAGTTTACAATCCAACATTCCAGTTTTTGCAAGTAAATCCAAAACATACTTGCTTTGGGACAGAAAGATACCATGTTTAGATCTGGTAACTTCAATTCCAAGAAAATACTTTAAATCACCCAATGATTTCATCTCAAACTCGAAAGTCAGATACTTCTAAAGATTTTGCATTTCTGCCTTATCATCTCCAGTTACAATCATATCATCAACATAAACAATTAAAGCTGTCAATTTACCTTTATGACGCTTTAGAAACAAAGTATAATATGAGTTACTCTGCACATACCTTTTTTAGATATTGCAAACCTCCCAAACCATACTCTTGTAGACTGCTTTAATTCATATAAGGATTTTCACAGGTTACGTGCAACACTCTCCTTGGAAGTCATAGGAATACTAGGAGGAAGATCCATATATATTTCTTCCTTGAGGTCACCATGTAGGAACGCATTATTTACATCAAACTGTAACAAGGGCCAGTCATGACTAGCAGCCAGGGACAAAAGCACACACACAGTATTGAGCTTTGCTATTGGAGAAAAGGTCTCCAAATAATCCGCTACATAGGTCTAAGTATAACCCTTTGCTATCAATCTAGCCATGTAACGATCAATGGAACCGTCAGCTTTATACTTCAAAATGAACACTCATCTACACCTAACAGCTTTCTTCCCTCTTGGTAAAGGGACTAAATCCCAAGTTTCATTCTTGTTCAAAGCTTCCATTTCAACATTCATAGCATCTACCTATTTGGGTCAGAAAGAGCATCCTACAGCTTAGTTGGCACATATACACTAGATAATTAACACAAATATAATGCATATGACTTAGACAAACAATGAGTTGACACATAATGGCTAATGTGATATTTAGACTTAGCATGTATATCAGGAGAATATTGTACTTTAGGTTTCCCATGAGTGGTTCAAAGTGATTCGTGGGGATAACTGATAAGTTGACACAAATAGATCATCAAAAATTACATCACTTGATTCACTATCACGAGTAGATTGGGGCACTAGAAGGGCAGATGGGGTTATTGCATCGAACACATCTTATAAGAATCACTGTCACTCTTTTCACATACAGGCGATCGGTGGATTGCTTCAGTGCAACTGGTCGTTTCGACACCAAGATCATTTACTTCATCTCCAATTCAAGTCCAAGATTCTCCAATCCAATACTCTCCAATTCACTCCCCCTCTCCCCTGAATTGGAGAGGATGGAGAAACATAATAAGACACTTCTTCATGGAAATTCACGTCCAAAGTAACATATACCTTCTAGGTAGGTGGATGATAGCACTTGTAACCCTTCTGAGTAGAAGAGTAGCCAACAAATACACAACGCATAGCACAAGGATCAAGTTTACTCCATTAATGAGAGTAGACTTGAACATAAGCAACACACTTAAAAACTTTATGGGGCAACTTGGAGACGGAGACAAGGGAAACATGTTCACCAAACACATCATGCGAAGTCTTGAAATCAAGAACCCATCTAGGAGTGTGATTAATCAAATAGGCAGCAGACAGAACAGCATGCCCCCAAAGATGATGGCGAACAGACATATCCAATATGGGTGAGCGGGCAACTTCAAGCAATTATCGATTCTTCCTTTCAGACACACCATTTTGTTGAGGGGTAAAAAGGGTTGTCGTTTGGTGAATAATACCTTGAGCACGGAAGAAATAAACCAAAGTATTTTTCACATATTCTCCTCCATTATGAGTCAGGAATACTTTGACTCGAGCCTGAAATTGAGTAGACATCATAGCACAAAACTCTGGAAGGATGGAAGCAACATCCTGTTTATTTTTAGCAAGAAAACCTAAGTGAGTTGGTTACAATCATCAATAAATGTGACGAACCAATGAAATTCGTTCGAAGTAACGCGAGCCGGACCCCATACATCATAATGCACTAAATTAAAAGGTTTTGCAGCTTTACTGTCACTCAAAGGAAACACAGTGTGAAGGCTCTTAGCCGAAATACATGTCTCATACTTAAAACTAGACTCATCACAAGAGCGGAATAAAAATGGAAATAGACGCTTAAGGTAGCCAAACTATAGGTGTCCTAAGCAACGATGCCATAACCAAATTTTTCGTTTGTCTTTGACACTGCAACTTTGAATAGTACTAACGACACGATCACGAACTAGTGCAAAAGGCAATGTCAAATAATATAACCCCCTATCCATTTATCAAGCCCAATCGTCTCGTGAGTCTTGAGATCCTGAAAAGAGCAATGTGTAGGATAGAAAGTAGCAGAATCATTAAGTGTATAAAGTAATCAACCAACAGATAACAAGTCGCAATGGATATTGGGAACTAGTAATGCACGAGACAATAACAGATAGGAGTGAGAGGGATTGTGCCCTCGCCAGTAATTGGAGAGGGCAAGCCATTAGCACTAGTTATGTATGGGTCACAGGTGTTACTAGACAACTCATAAAAAAATTTAACATCATAAGTCATATGATCAGAAGCACCAGTGCCAATTATCCAAGTATTGGAGCCAGTACCTAAAATATAGTCAGAAACACACAAATTTGCAGAAGTAGCAACAACAGCACCAACAATGGAGTTATCACCCATTATTGCAGTAGAAACTCAATAGCTCACGACAGAGTACACAGTGGAACACAACAGAGGCACAAATACAACAAATGCACGAAGACAGGCACGAACACAGTAGAGGCACGAACACAGTAGAGGCACGAACACGGCAGAGTACATAGTGGAACACAGCAGAGGCACAAATATGGCAGATGCACGAAGACAAGAATGGCACGAACACAGTAGAGGCACGAACACTACAACACAACACACAAACTCAAGAGGGCACACACATCATAGGAAGGAAAAAAAAGGGCTAAAACACGGGTAGGCACAACACACAGGTCACCAGAAAGTCAGCTCTGATGCCAAGTCAAACAATATGGGTAGAATATTTTCAAATATATTTCATTCTCCAAAAGGAGATATTTATAATACAAAGTTGTAACCCTAGCAAAGTTATACAAGGAAATAAGATAAAATTCTAATTACACAATATCTGTACAAAAAGGTAAGAAATAGAGTTGTAATAGACTAGGAAATAAATCTCCTGATTAAACTAGGATCTCACTAATACTATTCTCTCCAAATTCTCCATGAAGAATCATGGCAATCTACACTACTTTCTTGGCATCGAAGCTACTCATACATCCAATTCTCCCTTCCTCTCACAAACCAAATATGTCACATTCCTTCTTTCCAAAGCTAAATTGCTCGAAGCTAAACCTTGCGCTACTCCATATTCCACCACCAAAAATGACACTATATGTGGATATCTCCTTGATGATCCCAACCTCTACATATCGCTTGTTGGAGCCTTACAATATCTCCACTTGGACCAGACCTGATATTGCTTTCTCAGTAAATCAAGTTTGTCAGCATATGCATCATCCTCGAACTCCTCATCTTACTGGAGACAAACGGATCCTTCGATAAGTTAAAGGCACACCACAGTAAGGTCTACTTCTCACAAAAGGTCATCAAGATCTCACTGACTTCTCTGCTGGAGATTGGGCTAGTTGTCCAATTCATCGCAGGTCCGCCACTGGGTATTGTATCTTCTTTGGTCACAACCTTATATCCTAGAGTGCCAAGAAACAACCTACCATTGCAAGATCTTCCACAGAGAGTGAGTATCGTGCTTTATCTCAAACTAATACTGAACTTACTTGGTTATGTTTCCTTATCAAAGATCTCCATTTCTTTCTACCAAACCCTCCATTGCTTTTCTCTGACAATATGAGTGCCCTTGCTTTCTCTCAAAATCCATCTTTCATGCTAGAAGAAAGCATATGGAAATAAACTACCATTACATCTGTCAATTGGTCACTAGTAACTCCATTTCCGTCAGCCACATTCCTCTCTCCTCACCAAATAGCTGACATTTTCACCAAATGCAAATTTGAGCAGTTCAGTTACCAAGCTAATATATGCCGCAACTTAGCTTGAACGGGGATGATAAGCCACGAAATGTTCAAGACACCTAGCTTCATAACAAAGGACAAGAAACCACTCAAGACACCCAAACTTATCCACACCAGCAGCCATCTCATGAAAACCAACTTGGAAAGGATATGGATGATCACAAGCATATTCCTTTCTTGCTGTGTTATTCTTATTCTAAAAATTTATGTATAGGTCAATATATATATATATATATTCATTTTTTGTAAATATATAGATAGGAGGAAAAACTGCAGCCTTGTAAACCTAGTTAGACAATTCTTCGAATAGTAATGAACAAATTCCTTTTCACACAATCAGATTTGGTCTCTCTCTTTAGTAAGAATCTCAACAATAAATATGTCTAAATCCATAAGAAATTAAGCCGATATAAATTTTATTGTCTTTTTTTTAATTTCCTTGTAAAACCAATGTAGATGACTTTTGTTTAAATGAAGTTTATGTTCAATATTCTCATCTCGTATTACTTAAGTTTTTAGTTTTGTTATTGGTTTACACATTTAAAATGAGGGGATTTAGTTGGATTGGCCTAGATCTTTGGTGTGCTTCCAAGTAATCATAAGAGTTGATGTATAAATGTAAACGAAAGTAACTTTTCTTTTCACAAAACACGCGTGAAGTAAAACTTCCAACATCACGTCAATTTTATTCATAGTACACAACATCACTTCCATTTCCAAAATTAAACACTCTTCATAGCTGATTGTTCTATAGTACAACAATAAGTAATTATTTTAGAAGCCAAAGAAATACCACTTGGGGCATGAATATTGACAACATCACTAACGCATATAGGATTTGAAGCTAGTAACGTTATCCATGATATACATAGCTGAGTAAATCTTCAAAACCCTATTTTTGAGTAGCCATGATTCTACCATATGAAGCTTTTCGTTGCTTTTGAATTTCAGTTGGGACCTTGACATCTGTTGCCAATCCAATAGCTTGCAGAAATCTTATTACGTACCAAGTAATATCAATTTGCCACCATTCCAACCCATGTCTAGCTGAGTATTCAAAAGCATGGTGGTTATTATGCCATCCTTCTCCCAGCGTAATAATTGACATCCACCTAAATTATTAAAAATATATCACGTACATAAAACAAGTTAATATCCCAATTTTACATTTAGCAAGGATGAAATATAGCAGAGTGGGGAATAGATCCGATATACCAATTGTCTGTAGACATGTCACCGGTGTTCCATGGTTTCTTTCCCCACATGTGACCAACTGAATTTATTATGAGAGTGGCGTGGAAAAGAAGTACTGTCCTCACCCCCTGAAATTACAAGGAGTTTGGATTTAGGACAGGTTTGGATGTAGAAGGTGAAAGATGGTATGTATATATACTTGTTGGGATATTCATTGAAATGTCACCTAAACTTATACCTTAGTTTCAATTTGTCACCTAAAAAAAAATTTAAGTGAAATGTCACCTGAATTTTTCAAAATCCATAATTTGTCACCTCACTTTAACATCATCCAATTTTCCAACTATTTTCAAGGGTATTTTAGTCTTTTTATTTTCAAGAGTATTTTAAAAATGGAAAAATCATTACAAAAAAATTATGAAAAGACCCTTGAAAATTATAAAAATGATGTATCTTTTCACATTTAATCCCCATCCAGTTTTGCATTTAAGCTTTATTTTTTTAATAATAATTTTTTCCATTTTTAAAATATCATTGAAAATGAAAAGACTAAAATACCCTTGAAAATAGATGGAAAATCAGATGATGTTAAACTCAGGTGACAAATCATGGATTTTGAAAAATTCAGATGACATTTCACTTAAATTATTTTTTCAGGTGACAAATTGAAACTAAGGTATAAGTTCAGGTGACATTTCAACAAATATCTCATACTTGTTTAGCTGAATAGGGAAATTTTTAAAAAGAAATTTAAATTTTGGGGTCGTAAAAATTAAAGGAAATTATTTAAAGTAATTTAAGAATGAAAATATCGGTTCATGTATTTACTTTATTACTTGCATTTTTTTTAATATCAAGGACAAATATCTTTTCTCATACTAAAGGAAAGAAGGTGAACCCCGATCATATGAACCAGCACCAAAACTAGTGCTACGAGTAAATTAAGGCTCCCACATGAAAAATATGAATAAAATACCTACGTTTATTATTCGGTAAAATTATTATTTAAAAAATACTGCAAAAAATTGGGTCATTATAAATAGTTTCATATTAATTATTTTAAAAAAAAATTAATGTGTATTATTTCTATTCAATAATATGTATAAAATAAAAATAATTGTATAATATGTGAGTTTTATCTATTTTATTTTAAAAAATTGTAAAATGTATAAAACGTGACAAATATGTGCTTATGTGTACAATATGTTTAATCACTCGCGGAACCACTCTAATGGTTGTGGTGGGCTATAGCCTAGGGAAGTTTTTGGGAAAGAAAAAATAAACAAGCCTATAAACGAGTTATTTTAAATGTAGCCCAGTATGTATTAACTTATTAAAATTCAAAAAAGTCCAAATTTTTATGAATTGAGTTGTAGGGCAGCAATGAAAATACATATTAGCAATCAAAACTTGCTTATTGATTCAGATTCAAAAACAAAAAAATTTAATTCTGTCAAGGATTGCATAGAACAACTTGAATAGATACACTTTTAATTCTATTGCTGAACATATTTTAATTTTGATAACATGAATTTTTTTTGTCTCGTTTAGTATATATTTGTTTTATGTTTTATTGAAAAGCAGTGAATGAAACTACGAACTAGCGTGGTCTATGTGATTTAATATTGCACTTTCATTTATAGAACAACTAGTAGAAATGGTAAGTAAAAATAAGAATCATTAGATTTTAAGTTAGTCCACCCGTTAAAAAATTCATAGTTTCACCCTTGTGTTTAGTATTAAAATACGTGTATTGTATCTTATTTTTTAAGAGTCAAGGAATGATTAACAGAGAGTGATTATTTAGGAGAAGAACTAAGGTACATTAATGAGTAAGCGATCTCACCACTGCCCAGACCAAGAAGGGAAATCCACCCACAGCATATAGTAAACCTGCAAGAGCAAATGAATGTAGAAAGTTAGTACGAAAAAGAAACCTATAGAAGGGCTGCTTCTTTAATTCTTCAACGTTCTTCAGTCCACCAAGCTGTAAATTTCTCGTTTAAAAAGTAAATAAAATAAGTATATATACGTATCAGTTGGTGTGTGCAAGAAAGAGAGAGGGAGAGAGGGAGGGAGGATTATGCGTGTTTTTTACACGTTCACATCGAGGACGACGGGTATCAAAGATCCAACCGATGTGACTATGCCATAAGCTCTGGATGGGGCTGTGAGGGTCCTTCTCTGTGTCAGTAAACTGATGGTGGTACCGATGGTTACTCACCCATTCAATTGGACTACCCAGAAAATCCAAACACACCAACAAATCCTTGAATAATATATGTACATTTTTTTCATTATAACCTTTGATTAAGTGCGTTATCATAGATAGAAGTATAGAATAATATAGTGAAAGTTATAAATATTACCGAGATTATACATAACATGAAATAACTAATTTTTTTACACATGTCCTGTTACTATGTTTTTCTCTATGTGGGTGTAATTCATTTTCTTGAAGTAAAAAAGTCATTACCAAGATTACCTTTCATAGAGGTGAAACAGAATGTTCAAATTTTGTAACAGTTTTTGTCTATATGGAATCCACTTAAGCATAAAAGCGGGACCCACAATTTTCCGCATATGCTCGTCTTATTTAAGGAGGTGGCAATTTGTAGAGTTTATTCGAATTTGTGTATGCAATTATATGATAGTTCATGCCTTTAAAATAGATTTAAAATTTAGGGACTTTTCTATACTTTTAAGCATAATAAGCATTTCCGAACATATATATACACACACCTGAAGTGACAGAACACCACAATAGGCAAAGAGGTACTCGAGCCATTTGGAAGCCTCAAACCTCTGTGGGTAAGACTTCTATGGTAGCAAAGCGTGAGTCCTAAACCCGTCACAACGTACAAAGTGACGGCCACCCAAAATGCGGGCCAATTGAAATGAAAGGGCACAAATGCACAAAGAGAATGCAAGGCCAAAATCACAGCCAATGTGAATATGTCTTGTATGTTCCATGTCCTCCCCCAAAACTCTCCACATGACTTCATAAAAAACATGCCCAAAACCCCCATCTTAAATATATATATATATATATATAATTCTGATGATCTGAGTTTGGCAAAAGAAGATGGGCATTGTGGAGAGTATTTATAGTATACTACGTACCTTGCTTCCTTGCAAAACAAAGCATCTGCTAAAAAACATGTGTTGGTAGCTTTGACTAGAGTGGAATCGCATATGATGAGTGGTGATGAGTGGGGTCAATAATTGGACCTCAATAGAGGTTCGAAGAAAATAGGCCCGGCCCTCATATAATATAGCTTTAATACCTTAACTTTTCTTTTTGATCTGAATAACTTACGGACTTCTTGTCATCTCAATGTGTGCACCACAAGTGCATAGGGATGGCAATTTCTTCCGTGGGTAAGGTTCTATACGGGAATTCGACTCTAATGAGTCGGGTATGAAGGACAAAAACGCTTATGGGAACGAGTACAAGGAATTTTTAGGTATGGTGTTCGAGGAGGGGCGGAGATGGTATTTTAATCCCCAACTTGAACCCTCCCCGTTTGGAATATATATATTATAGTATATAAATATGTTATTATAGTATATTTTCTATTATTATATTATGTACTTATATAATGTATACAAATACCACACAACTTATTATTTAGTTAACTTCCCGTCCATATATAAATATTCTTATATTATCTTATTATCTTAAGCCATACGACTCATTATCTTGCCTTAATACTTCTTCTTTCTTTTTTTTTCAACAAATTAGTTATAATTCGTTATTTCTTCTGTAAGAACCCATTCACCAATGAAGGTGGGAATGGGGAATCCCCAATATGAATATTGCAAGTATGAAGGGGGGGGATGAGGGAAAAAAGCTTAACGGGGATAGGGATGGGGATGGGAATGGCATACCCACCCCCAATTCGACCCATTGCCATCCCTACAAGTGCAAGAACATGATGCTAACCTCTTTGTATGTGCGACATTATTTTTTCTTCATTTTATAATCATGCGCGACTTAAAATTCTCTTATTTTATTGATTATAATCGCAATAGGTTTGAAGGAACATTTTCTGTGAAAATTATTCAAACTGAAAGTTTGGGAGGGGGTGGGGAGGGTTAGGGTGGCCATCCCTAGTGGTGAGAGTGGTGGTGCTAGTGAACCCAAGATATAGGGTCATTAATAACTAATCTAAACTGAAAAAATAGTAGGGAGAAGCATGATTTTGTCAACTTTGGTATTTCCTTCAAAATCAAAGATTTTTTCAATACACCTAAACTTTTGTAGGGATGGAGGAGGGTGGTGGTGGTGGTGGAGAGGTTACCCTTTAATGAGCTCAATCAAAGTCTACTATCAAGAATCACATGCTTTACCATATCACTTATTCTTCCCTATCTTTAATGAGCTCAATCTTCTCCTTCCTTTTTCACCCTCCCCACGGCTCTTATCACAAACCCTCTTCTAAGACTCATTTCTATGGATGTCATATGTCCAACGGTCCAACAAACCCCTATACCTACTGAATCCCAATTGTAAACAAAAACAAAACCACATATGTATTGGAATATAAGACAAATAAAAGCGAAACCAATCAACAATTTGAAGGAATAAATAATGAAAGAAAGCGGGAGAATTGGATGAGCATAAAATAAAATCAACACTGGTATATATGAGCATTTAGAAACCACATTAGTTGTAAGGAGGAGCTCCTTCTCAGTTTCAAGGAGCCAAATTTTTTCCCGTATACATACATATGTAGACTCAAGATTAATTAATAAATAATATTGTTTTTGTAATCTTTATACTTTATGTTCTTTTTCTTAAGGAATATACTTTATGTTCTTTGAAAAACGAGAACAGTGTTTGGGTGTGGTCTTAAATCCCAAGTCGACAAGTCGAGATTTCAAGTTCAAGTCGGAACTTAAATCTCAAGTCCAAGTGGCGACTCCAAGTCCGAGTCGGGATTTACACTCCAAGTCAAGACCAAAGCACTGTGCAGAAATAAATGATAAACAGAGAGTTGGGTTTCAAAGTACATATCTATTAAAAGACCAATATGGCTTGGTGATATTGACATGCGGCCACTAAAATGACCATGACCATGCATGTGGCATAATGACATATCATATATGGCCTAGCATCTTTTGATAAATTAACATACAAACATTCACTTCATATATATATATATATATATATATATATAGAGCTTCGATTGAGGGATATTTGAGGGACACCTTTTGTAGGGCCCACTCTGGATTGTATTTCACTAATTCAAACCGTCTATTTTGTAGATACTCGTTCAAAGATCATCTCTACAAAAAATCACTTGAATCCGATATCATTTGACCACTCAATGGAGTTCTTGAAACTTTAATACTTTCTTGAAGCGTTATGTTCATTGATTTTGTATGATACAATTGGATGTCGAAACGGTGTCCGATTTTTCTAATTTTTTGCAAGGATGATCTATGAATATAGACTTAAAAAATAGATGGTTTATATCGTTGAAAATAAATTCGTAGGGTACCCTAAAGTGTGTCCTTCAAATAAAATTATTTGAGGAATCCCTCAATAAAAATGGACTGTATATATATATGTGTGTGTGTGTGTTAAAAATCTCATGCATGAGGCTTACGGGTTGATGTTGTTGCCGTGAAAAGACCACGTTGATAATATGTGCAAATAATAAATATTAGTCCAAGAAAGATGATTTACCAGTTGGGTGTAGCACACCTCTAGAAGGTTAGTCTCGTTACGTCTTTGGTGCCTGTTTGGGCCTATAATACATGCATCAGTCCAATTGATTATTGGCATATGTCAAAAACAGAAGCTTGGGCTTTGTTTATTGAAGTCAGAAATCAGCCCAGATGGTTTTAGGGGCCCAGACCTTTGTAAACCAATTAGCAAGAATTAAAATCACAGATTAAAGATTAATTGCCATTAAATAGTGATTTAATTCAGACAAGTCAGTTTCTAATTGATTTTCAGATTAGGCCCAAGTTCAAATCTCTCCAAAGGCCCAAAAATTTGGTCATCATCGTTAATCTCAATTCCAGAGTTCAAATCAGCAGATATTTTGGAAGATCTTTCTCTCAGAAGAAAGCCCATGTGACTCTGAAAGTCAAAGTTTTCAACTGAGTCAAAGAAAGTGATGGGAAGTAGGAAAAAGGGATTAATCAGAAGAACACTCATAACCATTTAAATACCAGAAAATGGGGGCCAAAAGTTTTCTTTCTATGCTCTTGAGGGCACTCCATCATAACAGGTTGTGTTTACAAGAAATAAAAAGGTGACAAGGAAGTGATTCATCAGAAAAGCAAATAGACCATCATAGAAACTGATTGTTGATGGGTTTTTGGTTTGTTTTTTGTCAGAATAATAACTCCCTCTTTTTGCGTTGGAAAAGGAAAATTCTTTCAAAAGATCTACCCTCCCGATATTAAAGATATTAAACCCTCATTCAGATTCTCTATAAATATGAGAGGAGGTAAACAGGGTTAGACACATCCAAAAATTCAATTAAAACAAAAACTCTCAAAGTCATACTGACAAATTCAAAACAAGGTAAGTCGATCTCAAAAGTCTTCAGACTCTGAAGCAACCAAACTCTTTGATTTATAACAGACAGATCAGCCAGAACTCAGGTTTCTGACTTCAGTTCAATTTAAAGAAGCAGTTTACAAAGGAAACAAGATTTCTCTCGTTACAAATTTAGTTCAGCATAAACCAAATCAAGCAGAATTCGGGTTTTTCATAATATGAAAACTTTAACAAATTTACAGAGATGCCTTGGTCTCCTAGAATTGCTAGAATAGCTCTTGGATGATTCATAATCAAGCAAAACATGTACTATAGTGCAGCTACAATTTAGCAATCATCAATCCAGCCCCGTCCAAAATAAAGAAATCTCAATTCTGCCCATCCAGCAAGCCTCCCCATGGCTAGAATAGATTAAAGCTTTACCAATCTCGACATTGGTATCGATTTTCAGCTGAATCTCATCAGTTGAAGGTGCTAATGTTTGAATCCAGTATAGATACATCCAGTCCAGCATGAGTCACATGCAACAATCCAAGCAGAAATCGAAGCCCAATGTTCTGTTGTCCCTTTAGACATGGCAGTCCCCTTTTCTTTTAAGGTCGTGTAAATAGGCAGTTTTTCTTAAAACAGTTTGATTTATTTTCAATATTCATTTTGGCCAGAACTACGAGTTTACAGTGAGAAATTGTGAAGTCCTCACCAATCTGAGGTAAGAAAAGAACTTACTTGGGAGATATTCTTCACCTAAATTCACAATCATTTGTTTAAAGTCAGTAATTTGGGAAACAAGTTATCCATTTTTCATAAATCTGTTAGGGTTTTTAAACTGCTAACAGTGGCACGCTCATACACCAAAGAAAGTTGACTTATTGACCACAAATGATTCTCAAGCCAATGGGGAACTTTGTCCTTCCATCACATGACTAAATCGAAACGAATAAACAGTGCCCTTCCAGTCGAGATGCAGCTGAAAGTGTTATGAGATTGGGTGACTGATAAAATGGGGTAATTTGGATAAGAAGGTGTGACTGGAAGGATGCACTGGTTCTTCGTGAAGAGGAAAGCTTGATAGAATAATTAATCTCAAAGATAAAATAGACTTTGGCTGGAAAGGGATAATGAAATTATTGAAAAAGGCCATATGGCCCTTTGTTGTTTTGTTGCGGACAAGAAGAATGCAAATTGGCCAAATTAATATATATTATATTATGCGCACAATGGCCATATATGCATACATGTTAAATATATATATACATATATATAATGATTGTTTATTTAAAAAAATTAAAACTACTTGCTATGTAATATTTAATCTCAACTATTGAAAGTGGAATAATTCAATGACCCAAAAATTATGTCAAAACTTATGTCAAAAACGTAGTGCCACGGATCTCATGGCTTGATCCAAACAAAGGCCAATTATTGGCCTCTACTATTCTATAATATATATATTTTTACCATGCCAAGTGTTATGGTTAATTCTCAGCACGTAGA